GGAAAGAGGGAAGCGCGTCTGTCTTTAGTGCGCATGACCGAAAAGCGGTCTCTTCTCACCGCCTGCTGTGCCCCAGTGTTGTTGGGTAAGCACCGCAGGCCAGAGGCGTGGTGCTGAAAGTGGGCCCAGGTTTAGGAGAGATAGGGCTTCAAAGTCTGCGTCAGAGTTTGGCGCCAAATTATTGGCATTTTATACTTACTCCAGCCAATTGGTAAGTTTACACTAACGCAGTTTCCAATTAAATGCCCTTCAGAGTTTTTTTCATTTTTTTCTTTGCTAATGGATATTTATATGAGTCGGTATATTTACTTCTGGGGAATTATACACTGGAAAGGTGCGCACGGGAACCTGATGAGAGACCCTTATTATTCTCTATCTTGGTTTGAACTATGGTAACAGACGTAAACATACGTAAAAACCATCTAAGATGAGTGCACTTTATGCGCTTATCTTAAGGACGTATGTTATCCTTAAATTTTTGTTAATGCAGTTGTTACAGAGATGCTAGATCAGAAAACCCAAACGGAACAAGATACATAGGCTTATAACAAATTTTGAGGCTTTTTTCTCAAGCATTTTAAAATACAAATGCAAATCAGTGTATACTGACTTTAGAAAGTATATTAATCGGTCAAATGAATAGTTGCCAGTTACACTTTCTCATCTCACATTCTCTCCTGAACTCATTCTAACTAGTCTACTTCCCCACCCCTTCACTTTCTAAGACGTTAGTGATCTGCAGGTTAAGATAATTGTTTCTTCTCAGTGTCCATCTTACTTGACTGCCAGCAGCAATTTACAGTCATCACACCCTCCTTGAAATGCTTTATTGTCTTCTCAGTGGTGCCTCATTTGTTTGTTTTTTCTCCTTCCTCACCAGCTGCTCTTTCTGAAACTTCTTGGCTGGCTTCCTCTACTTGACTTCCAGACATTGGCTCACCCCAGGATGCTATATTGGTGCCCTTCTCTTTATAGCCACACATATTTCCAGAAACCTCAGTCCTAGCTTTAAAAGCCAACAAAATGCCTGTCGTTCCAGGCCTGCCCCTTCTGGGAACGTTGAACATATATTCAACTTGTTGCTGGACATCCCTCGGATATCTAATAGGCAGTTCTAATAATGGCCAAAAAATAAAATTATTTATTCTCCCTCTCCTACTCTTCTATTTCAGTAAAAAGTCCCATCAGGTTGCTCAAGACAAAAATTTACATTTTACTTCTTCACTGCTCTCTTCACTTCCTCTTCATGTTCTCCATCAGCAAGTCCCATAAACTCTACTTCCAAAACATATCCTGAATCTGACCACTTATTCCTTCCCCATAGCCAACACCCTAATCCATGATTGTATCATCTCTTGCCTGGACTAAATAATAGACTCCTAACTGAAATTCCTGTGTCCTCTCTTCTCTAAATCTGATCTAGCCACTTCTTAAAACCCTCCAAGTGCTTCCCACTGCACTTAAAGTTAAATCCATACTCCTTAAACTCCTTACTGTTGCTTAAAAAGTCCTATATGATCTGACAACTGCCTAACTGCTACCTCATGTAATACTCACTCCCCTCCTCCCTACCCTGCTATACTTCATTGGTTCCCTGAATATGTCAAACTCATTCTCACATTAGAAAATTGGCATTAGCTGTTCCATCTGCCTAGACTACTTATCCACTCATCTTCACATCACTCCTTTTTTGTCATTGATGTCAACTTAAATGTTACCTCAAAAGCTTTCCCTGACCACCCTATCATAAGGTATCATGTTAATGGATCATTATCCATCATTTTAGTCCACTCTAATTCTCTGCATAGTATTAAACTGACGTGCTCGTTTGTTTATTATGTTTTCTTTCCTCACCCCATAAGAATACGTTTCGTGACAGTCGAAAACTTCTTTGTTTTGTTCACTACTATGATCTCCCAAGGTGTGTCAAGCCACTATTAGAACCTGGCACATAATAAGTACTCAATAAATATTTGTTGAATGAATGAGGAAAATTACGATTGTAAATACGTCATGCTTTTATGTAACATGGGCTGCATTGATAAAATTTAAATATATTCTTATATGTAATATGGACATAAAACCTGCCGTTTATACTTTGCAGGGTTGGTAAAAGGTTAGAACAAGTTTGTGTTCACGAATTTTCTTTTTAAACTGTAAATCATTCATGATAATTCATCATTAAAATTTCATTTTAAGGGATTTTTTTATATTACTAAAGAAATGCAGTCTTATGTGCAAAATGTGCAAAGTATAGAAGGTTTTAAAGTGAAAAGAAATATGCTCTAAAATATTTTCCCATCTCCTGCTAGAATTTGCACTCCTTAGGCAATTACTATTAACATTTTCTTTTGTATGCTTTCAGAACTTTTCTATGCTCATAAACTATTCTTTAAAAAACACACACACACAAATGAGCTTATGCTTCAACTACCAGTCAGTTTTTTTCACTTAACAATACATACATATCAATTTTAAAGAATTCTAATGTGCTCTCTGAAATATTTGCCTATAAGTATTAAGAAACATGAAAATATGTATGTAATGTCATGGTATCAATACTTTATACTAATAATTATTAACCATTAATCTAAATTTAATGTAATGTAACTATAAATTAAATAATTAGATGGTATTCTTTATATTGGATATTTATTATTGATATTATTAATGTCATTTTTCTCATGTGCTGAATGCTACTTTATTCTGAAACAATTAAAGCTTTTATGCATACCAGACCACGCATACTCTGTACCATTGAGTTTTATTTAGCACATCGTACCTCTCTGCATCAACCAAAATACATTCTACCATGAGTCATGAGTGTGTTTCCAAATTAGTGCCACCCCATGGAAGATCAAAAGGCAGCTTAGTATACTGATTAAGCGAATGGATTCTGGAGCCAGACTGGTTTCAAATCTTGCCTTTACCATGTAAGTAGCAAATAGTTTAACCTCTTTGTATCTTGGTTTCTGTGATTGTAAAAAAGGGTAATGATCGTCCTACCTTATGAAGTTGTAATGAGGATTAAATGAGTTAACATTGGTAACATGCTTAAAATGGAGTGAGTGTTCCAGTCCTCCAAGAAACAGATGCAAAAATGGAATTAAACATACAAGGGATTTATTGGGGAAGAGGTCTGTGAAGGGGAAGGGGAAAAGGAGCAGGTGTAAGCCAGAGAGCTTTCAAACTACAGTTGTAGTCTGACATCTGAGAAGGGAAAAGGGGAAGGAGCATTGACTGAGAAGAACCTCAGACCACAAGACAATTCTAAGGAAGGCTCAGCCAGATCAACGGAAAGTCCTGAGCCAAAACTGCCCATTAGAGGAATCCCATATAAGGCAAGAAAGGCTGACTGGCACTAGTATATCTGCCACTTGGTCATTGTCTAGAAACTGTGGAGTAGGGGGAGAAGAGGATTTCACAGTGGCAGCAGTTGAGGACCACCAATCAGCAATGCTCTCCACAGCAGGCTTCCTTGAGGCTGAGTAGTGCATCTTCATGACTGCCACAGAGAGCTTGGCACATAGTAAATACTAATAAATGTTTGATAAATAAGGAGACATAAGAGTATAGGGCAATGCTGTCCAATAGAAATATGAGAATCACATATATAATTTTTAATTCTTTATAACCATATTTTTAAAGCAAAAAAACTTTAGTAATATTTGAATGATGTAATTGAAAAAAATTATGTAATAGTCCTATATCAAACTCTAAATTTTAATAACAAAATATTCTCAGTTACTCAGAGAACTTTTACTGAAATTAACTTTTTTAAGACTAGGGAGAAACTCAAACATTCTGGAAAATAGAGAAAGTATAATGTAGTGGTTAGCCTGTTTGGGAGTAAATCTCGCCTCCACCCTTGGATAGCTGACCATGGGCAGTATTCCCTTGAGCTTCACCTTTCCAAAATATCATCAGTTAGAACAAGTGCAGGCTATATGCTCCAGCAATGTCCTGGTGGCCCCCTGTGCCAGGCTAACTAAAGGTTGACTCGTTAGTTGCTGAGGGAGTCTCTTAAGAGTGAAGGTAGAGGGCAGGGGCAGAAGCCAACATGACTGCATTAGCTGGAAGCTTTGAGGAGGTACGAGGGTGGGAGAAGGTTGGTGGCTCCAGTTAGCAGCTAAAATTTACCAACCATGGTGGATGTATTTCAACATTTTAACAACTGGTGCAGCTTTATTGTCCCAATGTGATGATAATTATCCCAGGGTAGGGCTGTTTCTCTTCTGAGAGCTAGTTTTTCATTGTTTT